CTTATCCAGCTCTCTCGCTGACATTCAGGGTTTTCCAAACCATTCTTCCATTTCAAATGATTTCATTTCCTTCCAAAATGACGAATGTCATCTTTACAAAGCACCATAATCATCAAATGTTATCTACTTTTCAATATAGCAGTAGATTTGGGATATTACATGATTGATGTCTGAATATAATTAATGTGATATGACCATCCATCAGAATGGATATTACGTCTCAAGAACACAAACAACCAATACAGTACACTGGAAAATAACCATCAATTGGGTGATATCATTGGATACTCTTTCGCACATGATTGTTCTCTAACAACATGAAGATCAAGCTCAATGAGTGTAGTATTATTGAAATCATATTATATTTAAAAAGACAGACATTATTGCTACAGCTTGATAGTTCAAATTTCACTTCCATTATTTTGAAGGTTTATGTAACCGAAGCTCGCGATTAAAGGAGTATTTTTTTGGATTAATTACTGAAAATTCAGATTGATGACACGATATCAACGTCAGCATAATGTGTTACATAGGTAGCGGGAATATTCTCTTTCGCAATGTGAACAATTGAACAAAGCATCCTCAAACAAATTATCCTGACGTAATGAAATCGTGTTTAAATTCTGAAGAGTTCGATTGAAAGCCTCTAGGACCGATGCTTCACATCAGAAATGTTTTGAAATACAAGGACCATCGAAAGCACCAGCAATAAAGGCTAGGAATGACTGAAAAGGAGGTATCATATTACCCTGACGTAAATGCAACTTACCGTAAAGTCATTTTACCGTTGAGTTGTAATTCTTATTTGCGAAAATAACATGTTATTCGAAACGGATTTCGAGAGTCAGAGGAAGAGAAAAAGATAGGGTTGCAACATGAAGCTCGATCATTGCAGAAATAGTGACTGTAGCATACTTCCCGACTAAGGTCATACATTTTATGCAATTATTTTAATATTTCATTGGGATTTTAAGTTATATGATTGAAAAGTGGTAGCGTAGTCGAAAGAACTAATTACTTGGCTAGAAATACAAAGGTCGTGGATTCGAGCTCTGGCACGGCACTTATGTTTCTTGAGCAAGGCATTTTATCTAGATTGCTTCCCTCCACCCAGGTGTTAAATGTGTATGATCGTCATTGTAGTTGGTTAATCATGTGCGCGTCCGTAAAGAGGCTCCTAGCTGAAATACTCCCAGGGAGTGGAGGATGTGCATTTTATTGTGCAGAACAGTAATTAAATCGAAAGGGAGTGGGGTAATAATTATACTCTTAGCGCTTTGGTCAGTTCATGAAACAGCGTTGTATAAGAAAACGGTATTATCATTATTATAATCGTAATTATTATTTATTATAAAAAAATAAAAGATTAAAGTCTTTGACACCTCCAAAGTTAGAAAATGTAGGTGAATGGAATTATAATGAGATTCGATGACCTTGAAACGTGTGTGCACGGGCTAATTGACCTTGCTCAATTCATGTTCTTTTCTTTCATAACTTCATATCTTCCCTGGATATTTGATAATCGATGATCGAAATGTCCGATGACTACTGTTTTCAAGGTCACGTCTGGCCCGGACCTATTTTATATACATTTCGCTGATCCATTACAATAAACTAATATCGACAGTTTGCAGTTTGCCAAAGGTAAGGTTCAGTCTAAAGTGGCGTGCCTGCAACCAAGGTGTGCCTTTGGCGATCGTTACACCCCATACTCGCAGAACAGGCATATTAAGTATTACACGTAATATATAACTAAATGCAAAAGGTTAGAGGAGACGCATTTGATTATAAACTGCAATCAATGACATCCCATAAGATCGCCCCTTTTCATTCAGACGTGTTTCCTTAAAACACATGGGATGATCTAATGTGTCATGCCCTTAAACAGAAACATCAATTACACGTCAGGATTACTGTCGTCCCTAGCCTCGAGATTCTCTTATCAATTCGAAGAGGGTCGAGGGCTCCTTGAGCGCGAACCCATTTATTTCAAAGCTGAGAAAGGAAGCATGACCGTGAATTACTTACTCAGATCATTCTGGTTTCTGTGTTGAACAGCCAAGGGTCACAAACCTATCAATTCGCATATATGCTTTCATGGAAAGAGAAAATCAATACCTGCGGGGTGACCGTGATGATCTCTATAACTTCTACATAAGGCGTACATTGAGCCTTTCCATGATTCCATTTTCATATTGCATTGACGTTTCATATCTCTTGAAATAGTGATATACTTTTGAAGAAAAAAAAAATCATAAGTATAATCATAACCATCATGATTGTTCAAAGTGACCCAGGATGTTTGAACTGAAATGAATCAGAATAAAGCGTTTTGCAATCGTATTCTCTGACAATAATAATATAAAAACATTGATTTCATACAGCGCATTGCATAAATACTTCCAAGGCCTATACAATGTTATTATTATTACCTGATGTCAATGGACTTAAGCCTGTGCACAACCTGTGCACCATCTCCATTCCTACCATTAGCATATGCATCGCTACATATGTTAATGGGGGAAAGCAGCCACACTCCATCTCAACTATTTTTACAGGTACCCATAATATCCTTGGTGGATAGTGGAAATGGCGATCAATGTCTTGCCTAAAGTTGTTGGACCGATGAAGCATCCGCTAGTCCGCGACAGCTCATAGTTTCCTTGATTATCTTTGAAAATCATGGTATAATGCCGTGGTACAATGCCGTATCGTGTCCTAGACTGGAACAACCAAATCACAGTGCCATAATACACTTAAAATTAAGCTTGAAGCTTATAAACTATTCAATATAACAATAAATTGCTAGAAGGTCATGACATTTGTGAGTTTAAAATTGTACAAGAAATCGCTCGAAACGCGTACATGAGAAATACAGGAAGAAGACAAAGCTGTAAAAATAGCTGAAAGTCGATTCATCTCAAAGTTCTTAGGACCGATTTCTCTTTCGCTTAACTGGCTCCATCAAATTCGTTGGATACGTGGATATGCGTTACCCAAATGTTGTGAATAAAAACACATTAGATTCGGGGTTATTTTCTAATAAAAACATAATGTAAAGTAAGTGACCAAGGGCCATCGCATCGCCAAACCGATGAAAATTCCATTAGCTTCCTTTTTCTCTTACAGTGCCGGAAGCACACGTTTAATCATGTACTTATTCAGATCCAATCTATAACGTTCCTCCAGCTAGAACGGCATTTTGCATTTTAGCTACATACCCCTAGAAGTAAGACCACGCGGGCTTGGGCCTGTTCTCATATTTGGAAATCAATGCACTCACACATTAAGATAGACGTGTGATCGTGACAAAGCGTTGAAGAAATTAATTTTTCAGTGGGAACTAAAGGTTGATATGCCGGGATCAGAATATTGAATGTTCTTGGGAACCTTATAATAGCATCACTTTATTCATTGCCTTCTGACAAATTGTAAATCAGTCGATATACTAAGCTTCAGGAGTTGATGCAGTTCGCTCACCCATTTAACCTCTGACATATAACATTATTGTCATACGTTTTTGCCAACTTTGTTAGAGTTTTAAATGATACTTTTCTGCAACGATTGCAATGTTTCATTCTGAATATCGTATAATACTTTTTCCAAATGCAGATAGATATGGCACTGTTAAGTTGTTACATAGCTTCATATTTCCTCAATATTGATCATCTTCTCTTTTTGTGACATTTTCCTTTGATGTATGACGAAAAGAATCATTGACTCTTTAAGGAAGAATAAGAAAGCTGATTGGATATTAATATCCGTAGAAAGCTAGGGATCATAGTTCTTTCTGACTTGTTTCACACGTGACTATTTTACACAAGCACCCCCCACACACACACACACACACGCACACGCACGCACACAGACACACACACGCACGCACACACACACACGCATCCTTGCGCACTCTTAAACACACCCGTGTGGACACACATCAGGTGCGCACACAGAGTAAAAATATATACTTCAATCTTCAAATGGCTTTATGTGTTGACACACAGCAGAACACGCAAACTCAATCGAGAGTTTAGTCCATACGATGCGATATAGGTTAAGCCAACATCGTATTTAGTATGCATGTATATATTAAACCCAATCTTTCGATATTCTCACATACCATGTGTATTTTCGAGCGTTTGCACGTTTGACATTAAAAATCACTTCTAATGCATGACGTCATTTGTATGAGGCTTATGAAATATGAGTATGATATGATATGATTTACTTGTTCAAATTGAAATGATTTGTTTACGTACCCCTGTTTTTAAAGTCAACATCACTCTAATCGTGTTAATTAAACAGAGGAGTGTACATACTGCAAAATTCAGAGTTGGACGAGATATATTACATGGCATCAATATTCATATTCTTGTCATGAAGAAGGTATTTGTCCGTTTGTTCATTAACTCGTAATGCGCCCGACTGTCGTGCAATATTCTGCCACATACAAAAGAATGTATCAAACTTTCATACAAAATACTGCAATATTTAGGATTTATATTGAGAAGTAGTTGAAGTAGTTAGTTTCAAAAGCTTTTTCGTTCACCTATACATCGCCAACAAAGAGATACATGTAATTTGGTCGATATGCATGATAAAATATAATCCCTTGAATGAAAGTCTTTTTGGGTAATGAAATATCGATATTAGTTCCTTTCTTTTTCTTTTAGCTTTCATCAATTAATTCTAAACCTTCAAGATGCACACTCCCAATGTTCGTGTGCTGAAGACAAATGTAATCACTACCGACAAAATTGTGGATCCGATGACAAATTGATGGGAGCTTTTTGAGTTCTCGTCTCCCTGTCTGAGAATATTAAAATGGTTGTGACAATAAAACGTTGAAGCCTCAGGGAAACTGTATTAATGATAAATGTGTGTCTACTTTTATGAGTGGAAAGGGGGTAGATTCTAACTGCTGTACGCAATTCTTAGAAGTATGCAATCATTCATATTCATCCTATTTTTTTTATTTTGCTATTTTCCCTCTGATGCAGAAACGGGGACGATTCGTCTTCAGGCAAACCACAGACACGTGATTGCAATGGACGGAATAGAACACTGACAAGGATCAGCGATGCGATATAATATTCATATTAAATCTTGTGATCTCTGATGAAATGGATCTCGATCTGAGCGGATGAGACACGATACCTTGACGCACGTGGGATGAAGTTGTTCTGTTTCATCTGTAGCCATTGCCATCGAAACGTATGTTCCTGTCGCTCAATGTTTCGCGGTTTTAAGACCTTCACGACACGCACTCCATACGGACTAATCAATAGCTTCAGACAACCGATCCAACGTCGATCGTCTGAGTTTGATCGAAGCGTGGAACGCAGGTAGCTAATGTTTTCATTTCCCGCCAAAACCGCGGTGAGAAGGGGATGCTCGTGCTGGTGATCAGTGACCAAAACTTTGCTCTTCATTTTTAATCTCTGTCGAGTGCAACAGTAGGCTGGTAAGTATCGTCTTACATCTCAGATGGGGTTTATACAAAAATCTTGTATATTCCATCTATGTTTACACGTCACGTATGTATCATATATTTTAAGATTATGCCTAGCCTTTGAGGTATATTTGTGTTTACTTATATACATGTATTATCTGGTTCTATTAATCCTGTTTTCACTTTGCCATTTACTATTTTACATCAATTATTGTACAATGTACACTGTTTATCATGTACTATCACCACTTACTGCTAACTAATTACTATTTACTATTTTGTAATTGTATTTAATGTCCTCTTGGTTATTGAACATGAGCTATATATCCGACATTTTAATCAATCAATAGATAATGTTTACAATCTTTCACAACGAGAAAAGGACCAATTACGATATCGCCGACAAATGTATTCTGATATAGAGTAATCACTTGATCCCTCAATAGGTTACAGTCACGATGGATCCTTCCCCGACTGTAAGCATGCTAATTACATATGTATTCACATTTTGCGTGTAATGATATTTAACGTAAAAGTCATCTTGGAGCACTGTTCAATGCCAATTAACAATAGTTAAGTAATTAGAGTTGTTGTTTTACGACAGACAATTTGTTATTCGTAGATTGAAAGCAGAATGTGCCCTACTCAGGTTAGGTAAGATAACGGAAAAAACATTAACCTTTATAAACCTTGACAATACTGAATTAATCATAATGCACTAAATAGTTAATAAATCTATTCCAGAGCGAACAGATAAGCTCATTATTCCCACGTCATATGTGACGTTTGTATATAGAAGATTGAATGAATTATACATTAGCATTGTTGGGGTATGGTCATAAGGATTGACGTGTATTAAGACTGTGTGTAATTTTCATCTTTTTCAGAACGCTTCCAATACAGAGGTTCATGAAATTCGGTTAAATTCATGATTCTCTGTGACGTCATCTACATAGTTCATTTTGATAAATTTTGACACAGAGGATTAGATCATGGGAACAAGACAAAACGAATTAGCTGATTCGTGCAAGAAAGTTTGGATCATCAAAGAGTGAGGATTCGGATCTCATGGACTGACAGAGATGCATCATTTTGTCGGCTGTCTTAGCTTCGTGTTGCTAAAGCTGTGTTAGTTTGTGGATTGAAGTTCAATGTTAACGGACTTCAAATGTTATAAACAAACTCAAGCAGTGTGTTCAGAAATAAAAAAAAAAGTTCGAGCATTTAGCAAGGTGGCTGTCGGAACTTCGGAGAAACAGAGAAATACTTTACTGCTACCGTGAGAACAGAATGAACATCATTTAAAAGAATAATACTCACTTCTTATCACATCGAAAATATTCTGACGTGGTCATCATGGAGTACGACAGCAGTTTCGACAACTTCACCGGCAACGGAACCGAATACGATGGTCGTCACACCAACGTCCTATCCGTCTTCGTCTTGACCCTTTTTGTCGTCATTGGTATCTTTGGAAATTCCATCGTGATCTTTATCATCCTCAAGCACCGTGACATGCGTACCGTCACCAACTATTTCGTGCTGAACCTGGCCGTGACTGACATCGCCCTCCTCATCATCTGTGCGGTGCCGACTGGCGTCGTCTACGCCATCAACACGATTGACTGGCCTCTTGGTGATTTCATGTGCCGGATGACAGGATTCATCATGAACGTAAGTCCATCTAAATATCTCACATACTAGTTTAATAATGCGTTCGGCTACCTTCCCGAAAATGTCGGGAAAATACCCAACAGCTATCAATAGAGAACGCGATCGCAGCTATTTTCGAAACATCATCTTGAAGGCAACTTAGATTACAATGTATGTCCCATTGAAAGCATGTTCAGACTACGTAATACGTGATTGTCATGTTTGAAGAATAATCAGATTATACCATGTATACATCATGACAAGAATAACTTTGTAGAGCATCGTAACACACGGAAGAAGGCCTAAATCCCATTACGCATAAGCTTGTGTCGGGTTTGCCAATGAGGTCCTACAATAAGATATGTAAGAACATCAAGAATAATTGAGGAAGAAAGGGAAGTATTAAGGGAATACACATTATAGACAGGGAACGAGCGTCAATAACTTACATAACATCATTTGAGCTGTGACAAGATTCACAAGATTTGAGCAAAAAGAACAATATTGGAATATGATATTATATATATATATATATGATAAATATAGAAAACCGACAATAAATACAGAATGTCATTCTTCCCATGAAGAAATCGGGGCAGCAACAGTTGATGTAGTACAAAACAAAAGATGACGTGGGAATGTATTGCCGAACCGATGCTGACGGCTGATCTATCTTTTAAAAATGAAATTCTTTGTTCGGTGAGAATACAGCCGACAAAGAACACGACATTTATTCCCCCTGGAACATTCGGGACTGAAACAGTAAACATAGTAGAATAATTGTCTAACACGGAGCACGTTCCTGCAAACATGATAGATGCTCTGATTTAAGGAAGTGGACAAACTGTCTTATTTTTACATTAACTTTAAATGGACAAACACAGCTTGACAAACCTTGAAAGCCAATCCTTACTGACTTCCAAATTCTTCCTCGGAATTCCGTTATTTAGATGCTAAAGCGTAACAGTGGATAAAGAACCGGTCTGTCAGGAAGCATTATGTTTTGTATCCTTTTGTAGAAATAGCCTTAGGATGAGGTGTTCATATTCTCTCATGAGACTAAATGAGAGGAAGAACGTTTGCTCTTTAAATTCCCATCTTATCAAGAAAGCATAAGATATATGTATCGATATAATTCATGGAATCTTGAAACTACAAAAGAAAATGGAGAGTGGCGGGAGGCGAAGGACAAAAGAAGGAGAAAAAAGAAATCGTTATTCCAAATGTACCCTTTTTAAAGAGAAACACCTCAGGCGTATTGATTGCAAGATTCATGTTGCAGCCCTATTTTCATTTCACGAATGTATAATTTTGGATCAGAATCTTCAGCCATTATTTTGTTTAACCGAGACGGAAACGTAAAAAGGGATTGCGGCTGCCGTCATCATTAGCGTGGCCTACTGAAAAGGGAATACGAATCATTTGAGATATTTGTATAGGGATATTTATTTGTTCTTCAATCTGCCGGTAAAGTGGCCTTGTGAAAGCTGGAGAGGAAAAGGAGCTATTAAAAGCATCGCGGAAATCAGCAACAGCAGTAACAGTAGTAGTAATAGTATATTAGGCCCACATAGATGTTACTCTCATGCTATTTTTGATATCAACCATTTCCGAGTACTCTCATTTAATCTATCGCTTTTCATTTCATCCTCGAAATAATTTCCATCGCCACACCCTATGACGCCCGTGTCCGTTCAATAACTTCACCCCAGTGACGCCATTGTGTCGACCAATCGCTAGGAGTGTTCCTTCCCCAAACAATGTTACCATTTTTAATGTAGTTATATTGCTTTTTTATTTTAATGTTTTTATCATAATGTAAATACATTACTTTGTAAAACAGACCATATCAGCCTTGAGCTGCATGTCGTGTTTTTGTTGTTATGATAAACCAACTCAAAACCGTTTTAGAACTACGAAAAAATGGTTGAACTCTGCAGGTTCCGATTATCTACGACGTTCAAAATACTAAGAGTTAGATCTGCTTGTCTCTTTCAGGTGCATGTTAAGTTTAAGTTGTATTCCACTTCTCATAGACAAATTGAGCAATAAATTCACCACAAGCACGTGATTAAAGTATATTTTACGACACATAAGAACCGAACTGCAGTTTCGAATGGGAAGCAAAGGGAGGTGCCTTTTCTTCAAACCCCGTATCTTTGTGTTTCTACCGAGGATGAAAAAGGTGTTTTATCAGGAGTATTTTATAGGGAAATAACTCACATAAACGCCAAAGTATGCCACTTAATGTAAATTATTAATCACACAAAATTGTTCAACTCTGCTAAGATAAATATAATAAATCAATGTCAAACTTTGGAGCGACATCTCGACTTGCCTCTAAACTTGCAAGACTTAGTGGGTTTTTTCTATGCAAATTGTATGCATGCTAATTTGAGAAAGTATGCATCTGGAATGATTCCAATAGTTCTTTTTAACCAAGGATGTCATTATTTTTTCCATTACTAATTAGTTATACTCGTCAATAGCTCATCTAGATATTTTAAGATGTAGGGCGTCATCTATCGACTGCCATCGAAATAAAAGAAATGTCATCGTCAATGCTCCTTGTTTTCATGCAAGCATTTTTAACTTCATTGATCTGGTGATTTACAATGATTTGACTGGACGTCTAATGAAACCAGTGGCAAGAGACCTGCACTCAACTAGTTTTTGGTGGACGTATATATTTCTCTCTTTCCAGCTTTGTTTTGACTTTAGAATTATTGGATCATTTCCCAGGCAGTGAGACTCGTTTTTTAAAACCATTCTCAGTGGCCCGTCATCATTAATTTTGAAAATATTCCATTCTTGTATTGCACATACCACATTAAGACATAGCTTCCCTATTCACATCCAAAGACCTTCTGAAATTATACCACTATACCCTCCTTCTACACCTGGGTCGAGAGTGACAAATATATATTAACATTTCTCGCCAAATGGCGTTAGTTATACAGATTTATACAACATTTACGTGGATCCTTGTCATTTGATTGGAGGATTCTTGGTCACATGATATTCAATAGATGTTCTATTGCACGGGCGTGCATTTTTGGTTATATGCAGACTGCGTACCTCTCAGCCGTGCGCGTATCCCTGCGTGTATCTGATGCGAAGACAATCTGAATGCATGCAATCGAGAAGGCTTGACTCCAACTTTAATTTATCTTTAATATGAGGAGTAAAGCATAATTTGTTGATTAACGTTGTATTAGATCTTCTTCGATGTTGTATAAAACAAATAATGAATGTTTTTCATTCGTTGAAAGATTAAAGTTAATTCTATTCAATTCGGCTGACGCCTCGTTGAATAGAATGTTAATCTTTCAACTCATGAAAATATTCGCACTATTGAACTCATAATCATTCAATATTGGTATTATATTAGGCACATTGCAACAAAGAGTACTAGTTGACGGCGTCGCCTTGCAATACACACATCGACATAAACATGAAGTCCTTAGGCTATAAGATACGCTAATAATTATCATCATAATAACATTCAAATCACGTTTTTGTTATCCACCCACACTTGAGGAAAATGAGATTACTTGAAAACCCCTTGCGCTCAGACAGTCATTAGAGTGGAGCTAAGAAGGGCATATGAAGTGATAGCAGAATTTCCCCACCTTAACAAGACAATTATGGTAAAAGGACAACGAGGTTTTTGTTGCTAGAGGGGGAAGGCAACAGTATTTGATAATTTATACAAAATATCCAACTCGTTATGGTAGAAAATTTATTTAGAGACGCCTTTCTATTTCTACATTATGCACATGTATATATATACATTTTTTTTAAAGTAGGACGTGTTTTTAGCCGTCTGCCATTGATCAGAGAAAGTCTCGCAAATTTGACTTGCCAAACATTTATACTCGGTACTCGCCGTCTAAAGCTACCTGACCGTACGGCCGGTTGGCAAATATTATGTTTAACGATAGGAGAGGTGACTATGCCAAACTAGGGACATCACTTTGGAGAGGCATTTAGGCGAAATGGTAACTGCAATAGCTTGATATAGGAAACCTCAGACTCTAAAGACCAGGTAGGAAGGGTTTCCACCTGAGGTGGGGTCCACTTTTCATCTCAAGAGGTGGATTTGTTAATTTCGGGAAGATTGGGAGAGAGCACATGCCCTCCTCTTGTTAATCAATGCCTCAACCGGGTTCCACCGTCCGCGATGTTTAACGTCGCGCGTAGTACGTGTTGCTTGGGCAATAAATGGTTTCGATAGAGCTAGCGGAAAGATAAGGACGACAAGTCTCATCTTCGGTGACATTGTCAAAGAAAAAGGACAAAAGGAGAAGATGAAGAAGATCATTCAAAGTACAGTCTCCTGGCGCGTTTCACCCCCCCCCCCTCTCTCTCTCCGCCTTCTTGAAAGCGGTTCTCTAGGCACTTCCGGCATTACGCATGAGACGCGAGATGGAGTCTACAAGAGGTGAGCATCACTTCAAAACCAGTCGCTAGAATTCCGGTCTCCACATGAATGACGACAGACAGCTTCCTAGGGAACAGGTTTTTTCCCAGGTTTAGTAAAAATTTTAGCATAGGACTAACGTACTTTCTTCGAATAGTTATGCGGAAAAGTTATTCTCTGTATTGTGAAACAGAAGTTGAAAGGCATATGATGACAACGCAAACTGTTTGCCGCTTTTATATCCCACAGGAATAACAATGTATGATAACAAACAAATGTTGTATTTAAATATCCTGTTCAATGTTCGAAGTAGTCTGAATAAGGGCTTTCTTTTTCAGTTATACTTTGATCTTGGTTTGATGGTAGGCATCTATTTTGGTAGTAATTTTGAAGCTGTATGTGAACACAACTTTTTGTTATTACCCGTTTCGTATTTCCGAGATGGTACAGTAATTAGAGGCAAACGTCAAGATTGAGGACTTAATTACTTATTTTCAGTGAAAAAGAATAACAAATAATAATAATGGCGGCTTCTTAAATAGCGCAAATGTCCGTCACGTCGTGACGCTTCTGTCGCTCTAATATTATTACCCCGGTTATAGTTGGCATCCAATTACATATCCATTTATACCTGGGTGGAGAGTGGCAAAAGTGGATCAATGTCTTGCCAAAGGACATTAGTGCATTGGTGGGATTCGAACCCTGACCTTTGAATTGAGAGTCAAGTGACTGAACCACTATACCACGACTCCTCAACGAGTGAGTATGATTTCCAAGGCATTCAAGAAAAAAAATTCTATAAATATTATTTGATCCAATTTTATTAGGTACGCCTTAGCGTGAATATATCTTTTCCGTATTTCTTATTTTTTGAGGCAAAATAAGACTCGTAGCAAGCAACATCCCCACCCATTAAGAAGGAATAAGATATTTTCGAAAATCATCTAAAGAAGGTTTTCACGAATCGGCCGTCTGAAAATCCATTTTCATGAAACACATTTTATGTCTGACTCACCAAAGTCAATTCTAAAACGCTTGTATATTTAAAGTGTATTAA